GAAGAAACAGCTCTCCGACGGTTAGGAAGAGCACTAGGCGCTACATTCACATCGTGAATGAGAGGCTCTCTGTCGTTCATTCTGCCTGGATTCTAAACAGAGAACGAAATATTTCCCAGAGATTGAGACGACAGGTGTGCACCATGCCATAGCAACATGCATGTTTCACATATTCTAACGAGCCATCCACATAAGAAGCACCTTGACAATCAAATCAAATCTCCACTGACGCGCTCCAATGTAGGCCGATCAATCAGGAGGTCGCGACGTTGGCTGGGCCGATCAATTAGAAGGTCGCGGCGTTGGATGAGCCGGACGAGTTATCCGGCCAAAATATAGGCGGCGCCTAGCTGGCAATTACAGCCCATGCGCCCCAATGGCAATGTGGCCGCGCCACTTGACATACACCCCCAATCAAAAGATAACCAAATAAAAAGACAAATAAGCGGAGGGTTGCGCAATGATGAAGCAGACGAGATTTTCATACATTCGGTGCGACTGCACGCAAAACATTGCACTTTACAGTGCATTGTTTTGCGTGCAATCGCACCGAAGGTGTTATGACCGACCGCGTATTTTTCAATGTATTTGAACAAACCATTTAGCATTCATACTGGTTGTGTCATTTGGGCTCTACTTGCAAGTATGGCTAAAATTTAAGCTGTTTACTATGATACGGCCATCCTCTACGATTAAGTCTTTTGCGGTGCGCCTAATACTCATTACCTTTTTACGATCCAATTCAATTTAGCAATGTCTCAACGCCATCGGTTGTGGCGGAAACGGTTTGCTGTGTGGCCTCCATTACAGATGCCGGAAGAAGGGATTTTCACAGAGAATGGCTACCTTTTTCATCATGAAACACCACAGAAGCTTGGCGAACATCACAAACAGAGGCTTCTGGAGTACGGTAAGATGTTGTTCGACGTATGAATCGACCCAGTCATTGATGGCTATGATTCTTTCCAAGAATATCACCTTACTCGCATTTCAATTCGATCGGAAATTCCGCTTGAAAGATCGCTATGCCTTTCCTTAGTGTCCTTTCACGACCGAGCAATTGGACGGGAAAGCCCAGGAGTTTCTCCGCGTTGTACCCCATCTGCCTGTTTTTTTATAAGGATAAAGGATAAAGCATTTGCCGTTGATCAATCCCTTTTTGGGATGCGGCACGCATTCTACTTCCATTTGTACATTCGTAGTGGCGTTTGAATGCGATGTGGCCTATACAATGACTTGCGGGGGCCAGCCGATGTACAAGTCAGTGTTTTTATCCTCCCAGACAAGTCTGGTACCAATTAACCGACCCCGGAGGGATGGAAGGCTTGGTTGGCCCGGGCGACTCACGACCCAGGATTTGATCCCCGGACCGCTCGCGTGGTAAGCGTGCCACTTGCCACTACACCACTTCCGCCCTTCATAGGCATCCAATTACCGCTATATGCTTCTTTTATACTTTTTGTAATACTGTTTTATACACAGTCAATTTTAGGCATCCAGCTCGCCTTGGGAGAGCGTTTCACTCCTGAAGAAGATGAAAGGATCCGTAAGAATTGGCGTACGATTGCCCGAAAGTACGGCTTCATCTATGAGGATGCTCGTTATTACGCAGGATATCTTGAAAATCTGGAGGCTGTGAGTGTTTTCTTGTGTACATGTGTGTTGCTGCGGCCTTAGGGTCTGTTTCCATAAGAGGGAGGAGGCGCTGATGCAATTGCTGGGGGTGCTGTTAAAGAGGGAACGTCTAAGAAGCCGTTATATCTGCCTTTCGGGTGGTCAATAAAACACAATTCAAAAGCTCTGATGAGCAGCGTAGAAGTGGACTCCTGGCTACGACACGGGCGCTGACTTATGATCCTCGACACTCGTTTTGCGAGCTGTTTATCGAGCATAGGAAGATATTACGCTTCTCAGCATCTTTTTTGTTTTGCTAGATGCCTGATATTTGACAGACGTTGAACATGCTTTCTTCTGATGACATCAAATGCTCCCTCTCTCCCCCCACCCCCACCTCCCAAGATAACGGATTTTTTTTCCAAGATTCGATGCCCAGAAGGGGCTGATTATGTTTTGCAGCAGAGAACGTTTCCAGGGTTCCATTATATGATTCATCCAAATCCCAACTTGGATTTCGAAAGCTACCACTTCATTGAGAATTTTTTACTGTCAATCATTATTTTCTGAAGAGTTACGTAGCGCAAATGGGAGCAATGAAGAAAGTGGAGATACTTCTAGTGGATTTGGTTTTTGAATCCCTATTTATGACTAGTTCACGAAATTTAAATATCTAGTTTTGAGTACAGTATTTGATTCAGGTGAACCAGCTGCGCCTCCAGAACGATATGCTCATCAAGATAGGGATGTGGCCACAACTGTGTAAGTCGTGGATACCTTGTTAGTCGCTTGCAAAAAAGAGATTCTAACCAAAGCTGCTTAAAGGTCGGAAATTGGAATGTCGAAGTGCATATCAGATACAGAGGCGGTTGTTCTACATTTTCGATCCCTATTTTATCGGTGGACCTTCCCCCCTGTCACAGGAGATGGTTCTATGCGTTCATGAGTAGGGTGTACCCTATTGCCTTGCTTTCCGATCACCTCTCAGTAGGTCTTTTCAGACGTGCTCTTCGTGGCGAATCTCGATCTCAAATAGCTCAATCTCTGGGTATATCAAGAAGTCGAGTTGATACTGTCTTTACCAGCGAGAACCGTCGAATAGAGCGACTGGGTTGGACAGCGCAGGCCAGTCTTTAGTGTTCACTGAAGTACTTTGTAGCGACCTGTAGCGATACGGTGCACAGAGCAAAGTTGTTGTCCTTTCTTTAATCAAATACAGCAGTCGGACTCTCTCTTGTTTCCCTCTATCGTTCCACTAGTATATCTGCGATAGAAGTGAAAATTTTGGAATCCTCTTATGAAGAGCCACCAGCGATTATGTGTAGATGTATCTATGTAAGATTATGTGTATATCTTTGAAATTTAGGATATCGCAAGTGACCCAAGTTTGTTGGAAAGGAACTGCCTTCCTAAAGATAGATATCGGAAATTGTTCGGTAACGATTAACTTGTGTGTTCTTTTTGTGATTTCCTCTTTACATAGCTTTCATTGCAGACGCCGTTGTGTCCAAGTCATCGTTATGCGAAACGCAAGTTGCCAAGTATCTTCGGTCTTCCTCATCAAGTCTTACGAAATGCCCTGCACATTTCAACTGGACCGAACTCATTGGACTATTCCGGCCTTTGCAAGCTAAAGAGATCAAGCATGAGTGGTGTGGGCGATAGTTGCTTTTCTTGTATTTTTTATAATTTACCGTCGTACACGTCAGTTGCTGAATTCCTATTCCTACGAGGCTATCCGCACGTACTGCTATTGCATAGTACCTATTTCAATAGGACTAATGGCTAGCTCTACCGAATGAGTCGAGTTCAGCAAGTCTGTTTCTTTTGTGCTCATGTGATATATGGCTGACGGTCTTCCGGTTGTATATTCGAAGGATGGGAAATTTTTTGTACTGCTCATGCTGCTAGTAGCGATTGGAAGAAAACATGCCAGAACCTGTTATGGGTGTGGTCCGCTAGGGCAGAGCAGAAATCGACTTTTTCGCTTTTTCCTGGGGACCTACAGGTCCACCCATGATCAGCTACGGCCTGAGGTCCTTGCAGCAAGAAATGTTCCGCGCTGCGAAACGCGAAAAAAAAGTCGCTTTCTGTCCTGGGGAACCACGCCCACTGTTATATCTGCTGAAGGTTTTGAGCAGTTAATAGAGCAAGCAAGTTGATAGAACAAAAAATGGATGTTTAACGTAGGAATGAAGGTCCCGGTTATTACGAGGTAAGTGAGGTAGTGAGTCTTTGACATGTTCTGTCAACTGCTATTTTTCCGAAAAATTTTGCAAGTGTTGAGGTGCACAGTTTTGTCAGCTGCTTGAAATCGTTGGCAGAATTACCATTCTCGACCTATTTTTTTCTAGCAGCAAATGTGCCATTCTTGCAAACTGCTCTTTGTTGGCCTAAGTTTCTGTTTAGAAGCGCCTCAGGTTCACGCTACAGCGTTTAATAGGTGCGATTTCAGCAGAAAGGGGCGAACGATTTATAGCTTTTTTTTGGAAAAAATAACGTCTTCTTTGAAAATTCACTAATTGATTTGATAAATTTGATTAGTTCTCGTAGAAAGGAAGTAAGAAGGTGATATGGTAGTTTTATTTTTTTTTACTCAGGCGGAACATTCTGATCCAGCTACGAGAGTCTTATCTCGCTCACCTACAATCACTCGATGAAGACCAAGCATGGAATTGTGCCAAGAACGAAGTAATTCTTAGACTTTATTCAATGAAGCTCAGGAATCGTCAAATACTTTCGAAAGCATTTGTTACAGCTGGCTACCTCTGATGAGGAATTCTTTGGTAACTTTATACAGACTATACCTCGAGCGGTTAACGTTAAGCGCAGGTGTCGGAAAACTTGTGAATTTCGAATTCGCAGGAATTGCAAAATCCGTTTATATATAGGGCAAGTGTTCAAATTGAAGTTCTCAACATCAGCGATCCCTTTAGCAGATAATCTAAACATTAAAATTCAGTAAGCAAAAAAAAACACTTCTCACACTTACTTTTTTGCAAGCTTTTCTTTATCAATAAATTGAGAGCGAACTGCAGTAGCAGTCTTATCAGTACACTTCCTCAAGGCTTTCGTGTAATATATCAAATCGCTCAACGAAAATCGCCTTTCTGGCATGATCTGAACGAAGTAAGTATTAGTAGTAGTAAACAGTGGAGAACAAATGTATATAGTTTAGAGAGACCTGAAGAAGGGTTTATAAACCCGAAACGTTGTCGAAATAAATGCTAAATGAGCTTCTCTTCAATCTGCTACACAGAAGCTTCCGAAAGTGTGTAACAATAAGAAGGCTTTCAGAAACGTTGCGCATTCTGGAGGCGTGTTACAGGCGCCTGACACCACTGGAACTCGGTGACGTTCCGAGAACATCACTTCCCAAGATTTCTATGCATCTTCTGGTAGAGTGTATCATCGACAGAATGCAACAGATCGACCCCTCATGGCAGCCACCTGTGATATTTCAGCCATGGGTGAATTCCTTAGACATTTTTGCAATAGATATGAACAAATATGCGTCTTCAGGTACGCTCTTGGGATCATGTGGGATTCTTTTCAAAGTGCTCGAGTAATGAAGAAGTCAGGAACGCTGTTGTCGACAGACATCGTAGGAGAGAGATGCTTTTTGAAAATCCGAAGCAGTAAGGATTTGCGAGAAATTTCACACAGTCTTCCCATTTGCCTTCAAAAGTGATTACCTAACAAAGTTACCAAGGCGATTTTGCTCCCTTGTAGAAGTTTTCGATATGCAACAAACATGTTAAAATTCCCATTCTCGGGAGAGGAACTGGATCGTTGATAAAGCAAATTTAGGTTTTTTGAGGCATTGTTTGCGCAGGGGCAGTTCAATAAGAGGCGCCGCGTTAGGTCCCGAGGGAGTAACGATTTTTTTAGAAGGGCTTCATGTTTACCCTGATTACCCCCCCCCCCTTCTTCTGCATTCTTCTGCAGCTCTTTGTATTTACTTGCTTCAGGTGTTTGTATGGTTCTAAACCGTCCAGCAGGAAGCTTTATGATGCATGGGACGACAATTGGATAGGACCTTCAGTTTCTCAGCAAGAATCGAGATCTCCAATCCAAGTAACACATTTTTTCAAATGGTTCTTCGTTATTAGCGAATACCGAATACCGCTTTCAGGACACCCTCGATGAACGAGATATTGAATACCGTAGTGAAGGGCACAAAAGTCTTGATATATCTGGCGTTCCGTCGCAAGAAGGGCTGCATAACCATGATGATCATTCTGCTAGCGACGCTTCAAGTGAAGTTGAAGAGCACGCATGGGAAACTTCTTTTCGCAGTCAGGACTTGAATGGAGCAGATGTGTCAACCGATCTGTTCGCATCGGAACCCAATGAGGGAATCTTCTTATGACATCTTTGCGGATGCAGCTGAAGACGCTGCTCTTACCGGAAGTGTGCTACCCCATGGAGAAGATACTCATTATGGTAAGTTTTCGTTATCTCCCTTCTAATTAATTTTTAGTTATATTTCGTCAATACGTAGTATTACTGTACTGGGTATTCGAGTCTCTTGTACATGTTCAAATCTAGGTGATTCTCCGTTGAAGCCCGCTAGTTTGCAAGCTCAAACAGGCTACACAGTTGGTGGTTCGAGTTCGCCAGAGCCTTCACCGAAACGTCGTAATGTTCATTGGGAAGATGAGGAGGATTCGTTCGAGTAAGTGCTTCTCCTTATTTTCTTTCATGATGACTGAAGTACGAAAACCGTGAGCGTGTACTTAAATACGTCCCACATAGGCCGATGTCAGACTTTGCGAATCGCGCGATTCGCTACTAGCGATTCGCGCGATTCGCTAGCGTCCGCGGTCGCGTTGCGGTACCAGCCAATTGAGTGATTCACTGGCCGCGACGCGACCGCAGACGCTAGCGAATCGCGCGATTCGCAAAGTCTGACATCGGCCTTAGGGGGAAGGCGCGCACGACGTGAATACAGGCGAATTGTAATGTTCCTACAAACTCGGCTGTCATAGCCGTAGCTTCAACCAGGGTCAACCGTTGCCATCGCACTTTTCCAAAAATCTCGCAATCCCCTTCCCTCCACACCTTTAAGAGAGGTCTCGATGCGACCTTCCACCTCCATAACCTTGGGAGACTCACCCAATACGACACCCTTCCACTCTCTCCCCGCCCCTCCCCCTCCGATCACCACGCTCACCATCATGGATGTTTCTATTGTATTTGATCCTGACATCAGTCAACACACCCAACTCCGCTCACTTTTTACTCCAAAAACAGCCACCGACGAGGGGGTTGGTAAATCGGTACCATGAGACGGCAAGTCCGCTGATTTCGTCTGCTTTAACCCTACTTTCATGAAACTGTCGTCACAACTCGGCGAAAAGCGCGCATCGATAATACATCGAAGAGTAGTTTTTACTTGCTCAATGGTCGCCTAAAATGCGATGCGCCTCCCGGGTTCAATGGTGAGTGGTGCGGAACGGACGGGTGATCCCGTGGCTGCTTCAATATCTGGTTGCGGTATGTATGGTTGGGCTGGCAGGGTTTTCCATAAGTCCATTTGATAATTTTCACGGGCCCTGACAATATTTCCGCTGTCAGCGACACGTTCGGCGCAAAACCCTCCACTGACGAAGCCACAGCTTACCTCATGACAACGAAGATAAAGTAAACTGGCAGAGAGGTTGGGCGTAAAAGTTCCTCTCCTGAGTGCCGTGGCTGCTTTGTTTTCAGGTTAATGTTCGATTCATTTACACTGTCGTCAAATTATCAGAGCAATCTCATCTAACTATTGTCTGGATGGTGGACGCAGCTATTTGCAATCTTATGCAATAAACCGAGCACTCGTGTGTCTTGTACTTTCATGTCTGAGCCAGGAGGAACATGCTCGAGCCTTTTCTAGCATGACATTTGTGTCAATAGTCTTTGATATTTTGTGTGTGTATTATGATTATAGATAAGTACAGGTGCTTGGGGGTCGGCGGTTGAGAAATTGCTTTCCACGGCTCTCCGCACATTTTCATCAGCCTATGATGGCTGAAAACTGATGAGTAACATTATTGAAGGCGGGTTTCCTGAAACGGGTTCATGGTCTCTTACAATATCCACTACTTAGCTTTACTCGTTCTAATTGCTGTAACAAGGGTCCACTTGAAATGAATGCTGTTTTCTGAATAAAACAGGCATTCGAAACGTTGCACTGCGAAATTAAAAAACGACTAAATGACGCTGTTTTTGCAGTGTAAGTTGGGTATGGGAATCTTATACAGGACTTGACAAAAGCCGAAAATCTTCCCGCCTCTTTTTTTTTCGGGTATTTCTAAGCTGTTGAGCTTCAATTATAATCGCGGTCTCTTAGGTCTGTCTACTAAGAAAACGGTTTTATTATGCCAAAGTGTACAGTTATTGGGGCCTCATAGTCTATGGCGGGTATTAATTAGCTTAATATTTTCGGTTGGTTTCGTGGTGTTCACATACTGCATTGGTCAAAATGAATCTGTGGGTTCTGGTTGCTTGTTTCTTAGTGTGTAATGATGCGTTTAGAACTGCTCCCGAACTTTCTATCAGTCAAACAACTTGTTTTAACTGCTAGTACAAGTTAATGAACAACTTAACCTCACATATAATGGTACACTTCCTCAGCGGCAGCGCATTCTAAAAATGTTAATGTTTTGCCGCACAAAAGGGCGAGGTAGCAGCCAGTGCACGGAACGCCGCCATTGAATGTGGGAACGCAAAGGAAGAAGTCAAAACACGAGTAATTACAGCCTTTTTGAGCGACAGCTGGAAGCCAGATATGCTCTATCCGGATGACCCGTCCCCACTCATCTACACCCCTAATAAAAGGTCATACCTTACCATACCCTAGCTATACGAAAATTCCAGTTGGTGCTATACAAGTAGGGTGGGCACGCCGCATTTTTTGAACAGAAATGTATGTCAGTGGGACTGCTGCTCGCTACTATACTGTCACGAGAATCGGGGAATTCGTGAGCCAGGGGGAGTGTAGCCAATCTAGGGGGTGGGGGGTGAGGGCAGCACTTGACATGCGTGAAAAGCTGGGCGTGCCAATCCACTTGTATAGAACCTCCAGTTTTTCTTTTCGACACAACAGCTGCGAATTCGGCCATTACTTACCCACCTTTTTCACAGTAACACCATTCCCTACAGCTGTTCGATGCAAAAAACACTTGAAATGGCTTCCCTCATAGGCACACTAACACGTCTACGACGGCGTGCGCGCATGCGCTTACTTCTACGAACCAGGGTTGAAAGACAGTCGAGGGTTCGCCGACGACTCGTCGAGGTTCCTCACCCTATTCAGTCACGCACTGCCGCGTGGACATTCGCTCTCGCTACGCGCAAGCCCTTTGCGCTCTCCGCACGACCACATTCACTCCTCGACCCGATCATTTTCACGACAGCACGGAACAAGTCGAGGACTTCTTCGACTGTTATTCCTGAATGAAGACGCAAGATATATGACTTCCCTGAAGCAACCGCGTTAAAAATACGTTTGAGGTCCACTACAGCCGGTTCAACTAAAAATTGGCTTTCAGTGGCCCACGTCATTTTCATCGAATCTCTACTGTACCTCTCTGTATTAGCTTGAACTACACTAAACCTCGATCTTTCTCGCTCTGACAAAGGGAAGGACACCAGGTCGAAGTGGCCATTTGTAACGAGACATACACCACTAGATGTGTTTTTGGACGCTTATCTCAAATCTGCTCTCCAAATCTGCGAAACGACTCTTTGAACGTAGTTATGAAGCGAGATAGTGCAGTGGCAGCGGTGCGGCTCAACGAACGAGAGGTCGTGAGTTCGAGTTCTTGGCGAGTTCTCACTTTTGCTTTTCTTGTGAACGTTGTTTAAGGGACTCTTATCCATGCTAAGTTATCAGCGATTGCCTATAGCACAAGTAAACAGAGCTGGCGAAGAGCTTCGAGCACTGTGCGCGTCATTTGCAAGTGACCGCCTCTGACACCCGTAGCGCACGCGTAAGGCAATTTCGTGCCAAGCAGGCTCTACTTGCTCGTGCCATCCGAAGATTAATATGATATTTTTTCATGTACACGCTCGCTGCCCAGGAGGAGCAGGAGGGTAGTGGCTGGGGCTAGGGATAACACCTACGACTCATTGTAGACCGAGTTTCGAAATTGGGTCCAAATGTCAGCTTTCTAGAATTAAGCCTTCAAAGATAGTTTGGTCCGTTGAGCAAGCATCTCCCATTTGTTTAGCCCATCGTCGGATATACGTCACTTCGTGGCGTAGAAACACCCCGGCCGAAACATTACGAAAAAAGTGGAATGCGTTAAACAACCCCTCTAAACATGCGTTAGCTTTGGACGCAGTGAAAATTTCAACACTGAATAATTTTTATATTTAAATTTAGACCTAATTACAAAAAGCAAAAAATCCATGCCCAGCAAGATCCCATCCATGGTCTTACCACTGGAAGCCGCCAACACTACCACTCGGCCAAGCCGCCGCTGGAAGCCGGCTCTGCCGGAGTCTCTTACAGTGGGCTTTCATTCGAAACAACCTCCGTAACACTTTTCAGAGAATCGTTTCGCAAATTTGGAGAGAGTGGATTCGAGATCAGCGTCCGAAAACACATCTCTGAGTATAGGTTTCATTACGGATGGCCACTTCGACTTGGTATCCTTCCCTTGTGAGTATTCGTATTTACGGCACAAGATCCACGGATGTAAGGTGAGACAGCAACGCCTGCAAGATCGCTCCAGTCCCATGCAGTAAAAAACCCAAAACGTACGCTGTCTTCAACGTGTTCAACTCTTTTGACCAAACACAGAGAGTATGGGACACGCAAAAAAAAACTTGCGCTTGGCTCAGTCAGCAACAGCTTATATGCCGAAACTATTACCTACTGACTACTAGGTCGTATTCGATGTCAAATAGGCAAATTTCAGGTAACTTTCATGCTACTAGTTCCATGCAAATTATTGAACCATGTCAACAACAACAAACAACTTTATCATTATATAACATTTGAAAAGGTTTACATCGCTTCCTCTGCGCTTTCAGCTGAAGCAAAAGAGCCTTCTTCTCGGCGATACGCTCCCTCCTCTTCTCCAAGGTGATCTTTTTTGCCGTGAATCTGAAAGAAAAAGTTCTAGGAAGACAAGTTTAGGGAAAACAAAATAATACACGTGACTTTGAAAACAACACTCCCACAAAAGAAAGTGGATAAGTATAAATGAGTTAGGATCATCCTTTACCTCTTCTGCTCTCCCGCCTTCTTAGCTGGTTTCGGCCGTGCATCTGGACTGGCGCGGATGGCTTCATGTCCCTTCTTGTACATCTGGAAGGCTCACAATATTCAGAAAAAGCAGACGCGTTGCATTGAAAAATAAACCTCTTCTAGGTTGTCAGCAGTAATGCCATTGGCGATGAACTGAGAGAACTGTCTCTTGTAGGAATCTTCGTCTTCCTCCTGGAGAGTACGCATGTATTCGGCGACGTGCTTTCCGAAGATACGGTCACGGTGCGCCTCAGCATCGTATTTCTTGGACTCAGAATCGTAGCCAAAGAATCGATTCTCACTGGAAAGAAAAGCCTAATTCGAAAAAAAGAACCCACAACACAATAACCGAAAGAAAGGATTAAAACGCACAAACCTGTGAGGAACCTCAATTCCGCCATCAGCAACTCCCTTCATGACGGCGAAGACTTTGCATCCAGTTGTGGTGCGAGCCAGTCCAACGTCGAGAACAGCTTTGAATGGGTTGCGACCTCCCTCATTCTCAACGGTGTAGAACTCACCGTTGACCTAAAAGTCTCCTAGAAGGATACGACGGTTAACAAGCCAGTAACCACTCACCTCCTCTTGGCCTTTAAAAGTCTGGTCCAGTTGAAGGTTCTTCAAGTGACGACGCGCCAGCAACAAGCCTGTGGCGTAAGCAGCAGCGTAATTGGTGAGACCAACCTAAGAAAATTGGATTGATACTCGTGGTGTGAAGTTCGATAATAAGTACGCACCTTGATGCCGAACGATGGAAGCTCGTGTGAGTACGCCGAAGCGACAATGACGTCTCCCTCGATCTTTGAGTACGCGATCTAATAATAAGTAGATCAAATGAACATAAGACTTCTTGCTTGAATAAAAAAGGTCAATGCCTGACATGGCCAAAGTTACCAGCGGTGTGGCGATTCTGGCAACAAAAATAGGAACAAATATATTGAACTGTAACCAGGACGGAATAAGAAAGTTTTGCTGATTATGAAATACAATCAAGAATAAACCTTCAAATCCGTCAACCAAAACAGTGCTGGACACTCTCGCCGGTAACACAAGTAAAAGCCTCATAAATCTCGTAAATGCGAGTTTGAACGAAGGGAAAAGCTCGCATTTGAAAAAAGAGAGTACCCAATTTCAAAGATATCCGAACCTGGGCAATCACATCCTTGTTTGTGAATCGCACAATCAGACGGTACTTAGGCGTGTTGTACTTGTTCTTGTCCTGTACAGTAAGCCTCTTCCTAGCATAATAGTCGGTCTTTCCTTGTCGTCTTCGCTTTAACTTCACCTGATACCGCTTGAAGTAAGCCTTGTTCTTCACGACTTTTACTAGACCCATACCCTGAAATGCAATCAAAACAGTACTTTCGACGTGTTTTGAATATTGTCTGCCGTTTGAAAGCAGCAGTTTGTGGTGCGAAAATTTCACAAGAATGCTGAGTTATGGGCAAAACCATAACCAAAGAGCTCGAACCCGCATCTCCTGCTTACCGGGCAATCGTACTACCAACTACAACTACTCATGACATTGGATGTACGAGTATCAATAAGCTATGGTAAATATACCATCAAAAGCGTAGCTAGAGTGTACTGGTGCCCCGGTAGTGTGAGTGGTAGCACAAATGCCCAGTAAGCAAGAGTTACGGATTCGAGTCCCGTATGGGGCCGAGGTTTCGCCCATAACTCAGCGTTCTGGTGAAGCAATCAGAACACTTAATAAGCCCAAAAAATAAAGCAATGTGAACATTGGATGAAAACCAGGGTAGCAAAAGATATTAGGCATTGTAATTTCAGTGCGACTTCCTTCACAAGCAAGTAATCATAGACATCGAGAAAGACTACGATCAACCAAGAAGTATAAGAAGACCGAAACACTGGAGTATTGTCCGAAAGCAATCAAGCCATGATTAGGTGAGTAGTACATATCACAATAAAAACTCGTGGATGAGATCAGGAAGCACGAACAGGGGACTTAGCTCGTAGTGTGACTGGCTTTGTAAGACTTCCGTCACACAGCAACGTTGAAGGTTGAGATAATCCAGAGATCAAATTTCAGACAATATCAAACATATATCATTGCGATTTAACTACCATTTAGCAAAATCGCGCAGACACTGAATTAGAAAAATGAGGTGTTCCCTGACCACAATGCGCGCAGTGGCATTACTTCATTCAGATTAGATAAACTCATTCAAACAGTGTCAAAAATAGTTCCAAGAGGAAATATTAACTGCTACTTGCTTTTGTTTGCAACCATCCGAAACTAAGCATCATGAAATGGAAACTAAAGTAGAAAATGCTGACTACAACTACCGCCAAGGCCCTCTGGGTCGCTACATAGCGAATTCTATCAAAACACATCGATTCCCAATTATTAGAGATAATACAAGTGAGAAACAAGAGGAAGAAAACACGATAGAACAATTGTTGAAAGACGACTAAATGAAGAGAAACTAAAAATAACGCTACAACCAAACTGGAAACCATACCACCCAGCCCAAATCTAGAAAAAATCACATATTTTTATATTTCAGTATGGAAACTCAAGAATACGTATACCCTCAGCTTAATTCTCGTAGGGAAAGACATAAGCAATTGGTCGTAATTTCAAAGGGCCATCCATTTCGCTGCGGCAAACGTCGAATGCGCAGCCGAGGTCCTGAAGCGAAAATCGCAGCCAAATGCTAGCTGTTGCATTTTTGAGGGCAACAGCTTTTGTAGAACAGTTGCGGTTTAGATCGGTTCCAAGAGTAGATGAAGCTTTCGATTCGGAAATTGGTTAGTGTTGCTCAAAGGTCCGGATGTCAGTTTCATGCTGGTGCTGTACACAGAGAAGAGAGCTATCATAGTGGGTTTTACGTAAGTTGCAGCAACTGCGTTTTTTTTTGCGTTGAATCGCGAAGTCTAGGAAGTGTGCTTCTTACTTTGTGAGCACTTGGAATTCGTCGTATGTTTAGAATGGGAAAAGGGAAAATCATTGACGCAATGGAGGAACATCCACCACTTTCGTCCAAGAAATGTTTATACAGACATTTAGGATACTGTCAATAAGGAAAAAGTGGTGTCTCCACCAATTCCAAGGCAAAATGAATGGGAACCCAGATAGCTAAATAACATAGTGCGTAATATTTTTTCTGCCGCAAATTATTTATTTAACGCAAATTACACAATCATGTTAATAATTCAAACTTATCACTGGAATGAGGTAATTCACTACTATTATTTCCACATAAACTAATACATTGAGCAATTTTTATTCACCGATGATAAGCGGTCTTCTGCAGAATTTCAAGCTAAAATCACAGTCTAGTTCATGCACCGAGATTCATCCTTTCATACGTTTCGCATGGAGAGCGGTCGCCACTCGAGAGGCGTTCGGACGGCCCATTTTGGAGCAGATCCACATAGATGTGTCTATCAACTTCTCCAGGTCTACTCCCTGAACATTTAAAGAATAAATAAACCTGGAACAAAGAGCCAAATGAATCACTTACAGTTTCGAAGCCCATATCGTGCAACATGTAGACCAAGTCCTCCGTAGCGACATTACCAGTGGCGCCTTTGGCATAAGGACATCCACCGAGGCCAGCTATCGAAGAATCAGCAACACGAATACCATGCTGGAGAAAAATAGAATGGACATACGGCATTCGAATTAATATTCTAGTGATACCTCGAGGGCTACGACGACATTTGCCAATGCTTGACCATATGTGTCATGGAAATGAACTGCCAGCTTATCAACAGGAGCGGTTTTTAGTATAGTTTCGAGCAGTTTCGTGACAGATCCAGCACTTCCAACACCGATGGTGTCACCCAGTGAAACTGAAAAACGATCCTTGGTAGAACAAAAAAAAAGACTCTAGTCCATTCTCAAATTTTAGGAAAAAAAGACCAGTCCATTTTCGGAGACTTTAGAAATCTAGACTTTTATCCCTATCATCGGTGGAAATTTTCAGTAGTACTCAGATTTCTCATCTGTAAGGAACAAAGTGTGCTTTCCCCTCCCCCTACCCCGCGACCAACTGTACAAAGACTGAGAAGGACATAGAACTCAGAGTGAGGGCTTTACTGCCACATACCAGTTTTAAATACACTACGTCCCAGGCTTCTTACCTTCATAACAACCTGCTTCTAGAAGAGCATCTGTAACTTTCGCTACAACATTACTGTCGATTTTACCTTCGTAGGGGCATCCAATGACACATGACACGTACCTGAACCAAGAAGTGAAATTGTAATAAAAGATGGACACAAAGCTACTCCATACCCTCTGACTTTCAATCCTTCCTTCAAAGCCGCTTTTGTAACATCCTTAAGTTTTTGAAGGCTGTCGTTCACATTAGCGTTGACGTTTTTCCTGAATGTTACTGTAGAAAATGGAGAAAACGAAAGAGTATCCAAACTAAGCCGCACCTACATAGAAAATGAGTCGGAAGCTGCAGCGAAAACAGCAATCTCTTTTGCATTACCATCTTCAAGCTACATGAAAAACAGAAATTATTCTTTATGTGTTTTTGCCTGTGGCGATCAAATCAAAAAAAAAACTAGCACTTGAGGAATTCAAACGTACAAACTCCATAGATTTTCGTTACTGAAGAACTTAAAGGTACACTACACAGATTCTTGTTGCACCTTTTTCTATTTTGTAGCTCAAATGTCGACTTCTGCTCCCAGAAACTCATGCAATTTTCGACCACTTATAACAGAACAGAGAAGAAACTGCCAAGAACCCTCAAGAGTGCATTTTGGCAGCAATTAGCATGGAGCCGTTTCGAACATTGAGCTATTTCATTGTTCGACCTGTGCTACCATACTAAAAGAGGCTGACCAATAAGGGGGTGCAATAAGGCCGATATCAGACTTTGCGAATCGCGCGATTCGCTAGTAGCGGATCGCGCTATTCGCAAAGTCTGACATCGGCCTATCAGCGAACCGCTCGATTCGTAAGGCTTCACATCGGCCTGATTGAGGTGACTCCAGCCCGAAAAGGACTTTTTTAAATAATTCCACAGCTGCCTCTTTTATCACTGCTCAACCACTTACCACATTTCCTTCACTTTCAGGCCCTGAGCAACTATGGAAAGGCCCTAGGCAGCCATGGAATATGTATTTAATGAGACGGGATGTGACAGACCTTACTCTTGCCTGCGACAAATTTTTATCGGTACTTACCACATTTTTCAAGCCAGCGGCATTTGGAACGAGAACCGGATACGAAACACCAGGGAATTTCTTAATTTGTTTGATCACCTCCCGGTGATCGGCCATTTGCGGAACCCATTTCGGGGAAACGAAGCTGGTTGCCTCTACGCTCTGGAAACAGAAGGAATCACACACGTCTATCGTTGTAAAGCCTTAGTTCTCACCTTCAGACCGCACTCGCTAAGTCTGTTGATGAGAGCAACCTTATCCTCGGTAGGGATGATTTGCTGAAACATACCAAAATTAAAATGTTTAATAAACAATGTGAGACTTCAGAAATTTTAATGCAAAAGACGGGCAGCAGGTGAGCCGGTTAATATGGCCTAACATATCAACAGACTTCAAAAACTTCTACTTACTCATTTCATTTAAAGCTTTACAAAGCCGCTAGGAGCCGAAAGCTCGCCAAAAAGACCTAAGTTTTTGCAATCTTTGCAACAAACACAACTTTTTAAGTTCTTTTATAAAATGTTTTAACCTTTTGCAAATTTTCGAAACCTCACATTGTTTATTACACATTTAGATAAACATAAGACTTCGGGACAGAACAATTCTAAAGCAATACCAAAATTAGTTTAGCCAATGGTTGGAAAATATTAATAAATGAATAAAAAAATATACTTTTCAACAAATTACTTTCTCATTCTGCAAACCGTCCCGGGCTCCTACTTCGACAACTTTGAATGGCTGTTTCTGAAAAGAAATACAAAACGTCATATTGTTAGAATACCAAAAAAAATTATACCTTTGTGGCTGCAGTAGCAAAGTTTCGCAGGAAATTTGAAGAGAGACTTCTCATCTGTTCAGAAATAAAATGATATACCTACGAAAATATAAACTTCCACAGATGAACGGCGATTGCGCCGCGTCAAGCGTCGCGCGTTGCACCTACTGGGTAGACCTTCAAGTATTCTACACACAAATTTGATCTTCGTGTGTGTTTAAATAAACAAATCCCTCTTCATCTCTGGATCGGAATATCAAAAAGGGCATGCTTAAAAATTGGTTTAACGAATATGGTAATCGACAATTCACTTCGTCAGTTGCTCACCCACACAAAATCTGTTACTCGATGTTATAGTAGCTCCAATCACACTGGCAAAAGTAGATGTGCAGGCATAAGAATAGTCTGCTACCGTACACGGTGCAAAATTTCTGCAAAATTGCGGAAGGCCTACTTTTTATATAACAATCTCAGGCAGATTTTGTGATCTCCCTTATGAATTTAGGTGTTTCTAAGTACTGCTAGCAATATATATCATTGAAATTCTCACCGTAATTTTAAATTCTCGGTCCTAGAGCGTTTGGGTTTTTTTTTAAAGTTTATAGTGAGCCTTAATTCATGATTATTATGTTATTTGATTTTCTCTTGACTACCTGAGCTGTGATGCTTGACTATTTGGAATTTTTGATACACTATTTTTTCAAATTTTTTCCCTCAGACATGGGTGACGCCGAGAAGGTCGCGGAAACCCGCGAAAAGAAAGCGAAAAACATCATGAGGGAGCTGAAGATCCAGAAGCTGTGTCTCAACATCTGTGTGGGAGAGTCTGGTGACAGGCTGACTCGTGCAGCTAAGGTTTGCAAACTTGCCCTTTTCTTTTACTTTATTTGGTGCTATACAGGTGGGATGGGCACGACCAGCTTTTCACGCATGTCAAGTGGCTGCCCTCACCCCCCCCCCTAGATTGGCTACACTCCCCCTGGCTCACGAATTCCCCAATTCTCGTGACAGTATAGTAGCCGAGCAAGCAGTCCCACTTTCATACATTTCCAATCAAAAAATGCGGCGTGCCCACCCTACTTGTATAGCATCTTTTATTTGAAACGTAAAAACGAGCGAATATGTTTGCGCACTAATGTACTTCCATCTGGGTATTGAATAGATTTCGATGTTTTTGTATACGTGGGATAAGGGGTCAACTCTCAAGGTTGCTCAAAACTATGAAATCATTAGTAGCATTCTGAAATCGCTCGTCATAGCACGCTCTAATTCCTTCTAGAAAGCCGCTCATAACATCCGATTAAAGCAGAACATAGTCATTCGAATGAATCTAGCTCGATTGCGGTTTGAAACTCTTCAGTCCGCTTGTCTTGTATGCAAGATCTCTTTTAGCTTGAAACAAAGCGCAGGAAAAAGTAGTTCGCTATCTTCCAATGTGTTAATCGTGTTATTTTCGTAAGCTTCTTCTCGTTCAGGTGTTGGAACAGCTTACCGGTCAAACCCCGGTGTTCTCAAAGGCGCGGTACACTGTTAGGTCGTTCGGGATCCGTAGGAATGAAAAGATCGCTGTGCACTGTACAGTTCGTGGTCCAAAAGCTGAGGAGATTCTTGAAAAGGGTCTCAAGGTCAAGGAATTCGAGCTCTACAAGGAGAATTTCTCGGATTCGGGAAACTTCGGCTTTGGTATCCAGGTAAATCATGATTTTCAATTAGAAGTTTTTTCCCTTTTTTGTCAGCGGTATCTATACCCTTTGGCATTTTCACTATTGACCTGTTTATTTTATCGTTTAAACTTTCATGTTCTTCATTTTCGTTGTGAACAATAAATGACCCGCGCCTTGACCAGTTGGGCACACGGTATTCCTCCCGTCGTTGGATTCCCAGCGAGTTGATGATCGTGTTCCTGCTCTGGTGAAACTAGTACTACTCCGGAAGACTGATTATTCGGGATGTTGGGAGGTTCTTCGTGAAATTCAGAGGGATTTGAAAATTGGAGCCTGAACAGGGAGTTGATACGACTGCTATACGAAGGACCGCGGTGTAGAAGACTTCTTAACTAGGTCGAATTGGCCGCTCCGAAACAGCACGCACCATTTCAGGCTTCTTTACCTTCCTATTAGGTTTTGAGATTCGAACTCATTCCTTCGGCTCGTCTGAATATTGCAACTTTTCTTCACCTCAACCGATGTAGCATTCATTCAGTCTTAAACGCTCAGAACTATTTTCTAGTCAAAACTTTCATTTTTTCGGTGAACCTCTGGAGTTCTTTTAAAGCGGTAGCCTTTTTTCAATTTCGGAATACACGTGTTGTAGGAACACATCGATCTCGGTATCAAGTACGATCCTGGAATCGGTATTTATGGTATGGACTTCTACGTAGTTCTTGATCGTGCTGGACGACGTGTTGCCAGAAGAAGACGCGCCCCAGGTCGTGTTGGCCCATCTCATAGAGTCTACCGTGAAGAATCAGTGAAGTGGTTCCAACAGAAGGTAGATTGGCCTCAACTGAGCTACGTATTTTTTTTCTGATTTTGATTTATATGACAATTCGTTTAGTACGATGGTATTATACTGCCACCAAAGCCCAAGGTCAAGCGAAGCGCTCACCGCCGACGATAATTTTTTCCCGATTTTTGTTGAGTTCATAAATCGTTGTTATATAAATTCTTTTTTTTTCTTTTTGTGGGCTCCCTTCTCAGCACTCACGAGCATTTCATGGGGATACATTTGAAGGAATCCTTTTTTTTTGCAAGAGCTGGCATGAACGCTTCATGAAGGTGAAGTGCCAGTTAGTCGGTCTCCAATGAACCGCAAGAGGTTATTTGGAGCTGTCAATATACACGTCCAAAGAGGCTATCAAGAACTCTCCGATTATTTTGTAGCATTCTTGTCCTTGTTTCATCCATTCATCTATATGAGCAGCTCAAACCTGCGTTGGGCATTGTTCACAGTTTGCGACCTAGGCTAGTTGGAACTGGGTGGAAGCGCGATAAGTTGCTTGGCGAATCCATTGAGAGATAGGGCAGAAGAATGGTATGTCACCTACGTGGTCGGGTGTGGTTCACTGATCGTTACCTCACTCACCTTTTCGCTGATACTCTGAGTTTTGCTTACGCGTCCTCGTGTGCTCCGACTCTAGTATAAAATAAGTGTAAGTGCTCTCGTATAAATTCTTTTTTGTGAATTTGCCCTTCTTTGGAGTAGCAGACTGTTTACAGTGCCTTAGACGGAGTTATGTACTCAGAGTGCGAACATTCTTTGCCCTTTTTAATTCATTGCCTCGTCACTATTTGTAGTGTTGTCTAGTTCCTATCTAAGCTGACGCTATTTTTATGCATTGAGAAGCACCGAAATTTCGATGAATCTTCTGACCCGCTCATTAGGATGTGAATGGACGACGATTAACACTATCTGTGCACAATGTGTCGCTTTTTTGTAGACGGGTGCGTCCATAGCTCACGTTTGTGGAGAGGTCATCCGGAGGTTCCGCTGAAGGACTCTACATTCCCTATTTAGCCGTCTGAACGGGCGTGTCCAAGGATTTGTCGTAGCGGCCACAGCACTCGATAGAAGTCACGTAGGTTGTTTCCAGTGTGCTTTGCTGATTTGCAGAGTATGTTGGAAATAACGTATTCAAACGAATTTCATTATGTGTGGCGGCCGCCACGTTCAATCTTCAGGCACGCCTCAAACGGCAAGATATGCACCGGTAATTAATCACAAAATCCTTTCGGTGAAATCGCCAGATCTTCTACGCTGGAACGTAAGCCGTGAACACTGCCTTGTTGAGTGATAAGCCCTACAAATCCACAATTTAGTAATAAAGCGTTTTGCGTCATTACTCAAGTCATTTAGTGTGATGCTGTAATTCATGCGGTATTCTTTGGGTTTACAACAATAAGATGTTAAGAGCGTTACCGTTATCGTGTACAAGTTGAAAATAAGTGAATGAGGTGTGTTTTGAATATGGGACAGTATTTCAGCTCTGAGAAAGTTCTAGATGTAAACAAATATTTTTACTGGCTTTAGTTTTTACGAGAACCTTCAGCCCTTGAATTGAATCTTATAAAGTCTGAGGTTTTTGAATGACTCATTTGTAGGGTAGTATAAATTTTGCACCATGTTTTGTGCGTTAGCTCTGTGCGTGTCTGCAGGTTCCGTAAAAAGCTTGGTATACCTTTGCCTTCCACAGCTTGTTAATAAAACTGCCAATTTACTTAAAAAAAGCCTACCGAACCATTCTGCATAATATGCGGTGGAAGAAACAGAACATGCTCATTATACTCACGACACGTAATCGACTCATTTGAAGTAGACTTCTGATAAATATTGGTGTAATGGGTGAGAAACCCTGAAACGTTTTCACATTTCCGCCTGCCATGACCCAAGGGAACGGTCCTGGACCAGGAGAAAGGACACCTCCGCAAAGGGCTAAGGGTGCAGGAGCTCCAGGGTGGATCACCTGTGCAGAAAAGTGGATGGGATGTGGGCAGGTAGTGTGGAATGTAGGACATCCACCGGTCCTTATCAAAAGTACGCTCGAAATGAGTCGTTCACTTATTATCTTATCCGTAGTGTTCGATAGCCCAAAGAACTGCTCTCTAGTACTACGGATAAGATAGCAATGGAGTGGCCCCCCCGAACTGGAGTTTCACCGCAATACCTATTGAACATAGTTCG